AATTCTTCTCCGAGTGAACTACGACCTCGGGTGAACTCACTGTACCATCGATAAACACTGGTCTTGGATGAGGCCTCATCACCAAAAATTGAACTGAGTTCATCCGTGCATTGTTGTTGAAATAGTCCACGTCGAAAGTTGAAGAAAATAGTCGCGCGAAGATGCTCACGGTTCTACCCCATAACCTGGCCTAAACAAAATCCTATAACTTAGTGTAAACAAGACAAATCGCGCTCAAATTTCGCAACTTAACCTAAAAATAGTCAAACTTTACGATAGTAGTGTCAGTTGCTAGATTGCTACACTAGTCTTGCCAAATCTCAAAATATAAAAGGTAACCCTAGTAAATGCTGCAGAGCGAAATCACAGCAGGCACACAGTTATATTTGATACGATGTCACCTGGAAAAGGGGGAATGGTAAGAACGTTGTGTTGCTAACCATATCACTGCAGGTCTCGTTCTGTCGTGGTGACAACTGCTCATCTACTGACATTTATTTCCTCAAAGAAGGAAAACAAACGCATGTTTCACGATATTGGAGATACCGAGTGGCAGTCCTACACGGTAACTTTCTCTACCAGTAGAGTTAATCAATTTGTTATTTCCAAAATGTTACCTTTTGGAGGAGTGGCTCTAATTTTTGCTTGGTGGGTGTTAGGCTCATCGGCGATCCTTATTGCTCGCTATTTCAAACCATTGTTCCCAAGAAAGAAGCTTCTTGGCACGGCAGTCTGGTTCCAGGTGGGTGCCTAGGTAATCTAACCTTCTCACGCTCCGCCAAAATGTTTGAATTTCAGTTCCATCGAGATCTCTTCCTGATTTCTCTTGTTCTTCAAATTCTTGCCGTCATCTTCATTTTTTGGCAGGCTAACTGGGTTTGGTATCAGTGCTCTTATCAATGCACACCTAAGGTGAGTCTCAACATTCATCAGTCGAAGGCCTGATTCGAAAGCGTTTCAGATTTTGCTATCCTCTCATCTGACTGCTGACTTAATCTAAAAAGGAAACTTGCTTTGGTTGTAACGAGGATGTTAGGTTGCAGCACGATCACCCCTCTACCCATTCGATTATGTGTAGCAAGCACGGTTACCCCTCCACCAACTGTTGAGAATCTTTTTTTACTCGAAACAATCACAGTACCAGTCAATGTTACTCTCAGCGCACAACACTGAAGTGGATTTGCATATAAATATATTATATTTATGAAAATACCTGCTACCTGAATCCGGACAGCTTTTTATACCCTTCTTCTTAGGAGTTCAGGTAGTCAAGAACCAAGCGCGCACTCCCGCAGGGATGGAGCTCTAAGGGTCCATCTGCTTACTGACATTTGTGGTGGGGAACCACTGGCTACCGCACGCGAATGGAATTAACGAATTTTCAAATTAATGCACTTTCGCCCATCTACACAATAAAAAACTATTTGTTTCTTTTTCTTCAAACCGAGCCGACTTTGAGTATGGTGCAAACGGTTGGTCAATGAATATCAATCGGCTAACTACCCTCTTGAAAGTCAGAAAAGAAAAGAGTCAAAATTAATGTCTGAACTGAAGACCACCTCAACCCTACTGAAATTCGAGATCTTACAAGCCACACACAACTGAGGAAAAAATTGCTCTCGTGCGCTCACTGGGACTTTCAGAACCATCCAGCCCGTATTTGACCAGTAGTTCCAATTCGAGTTGGCCTTCATTCAAAACCACAGTGGAAAAGGCAACCTATGAGAGGAGTCAGCTTCCTAACCCCAGTTCAAGAGAGAATGTACCTCTAAATCATTCACATTCTTGTGTGCACTCACAATGAACAGCTTTTCTTTTTTAAATTCGATTTTGCATGCTTGCAAGGTTCTCATAGGGCGAAAATCAGAAAACTCCGAGTTCTCCGGATGTTCAGCATAGATTCAAGATTTGTGTATGAGTGAACCATTTAACATACAAATCTGCACAATACTCAATCTTCAGCTACTCCATAAAAACTGTTGTGCTGCGTGCTCAATTCTGATAATGAGATTTCATCCAAAATCGGAACTTTTTCAGGACTTTTCGAAGAAAATGCACGCGATTGTCGGTGTAATTGCCACAGTCCTGGCAGCGACACAACCTCTCTCAGCATTTCTGCGACCATCACCGAATTCCCGGTATCGCTTCATTTTCAACTGGACCCATTGGCTGGTTGGAATGACGGCATGGGGTTTTGCTAGTAAGTTAACAATTCATCTGAAGGAGGTGTTCATAAACATCTTCAAAGGACCTGTCTATGAGATTCCGTTGATGTGAAATCGTACCAGTGTGCAATCGTAGGGAATTCTTCATTTTCGCTTTGTTCAGAAGCAAACATGTGATGGATTATGGATGTATTTCTGCCCTGGGAGATTGTTCTGAGCAGTGTCGTGCTACCGAATGCCGTTCAGAGGGTTAATGAAAAGAAAATTCTCGCGTTTGAGGGGGCAAGGCAGACTTCTCAACGAACGTTGAAAAGGAGCGATCTAAAATGACTAAGGAAATGCAATGGAAATTCCCGTCTTTTCTTCTCGTCGTGTTAAAGCACGCCTAAATGTGTCGTTCTGAACGGAATCCAGCACAGTATTTAGTCTGAAGGTTGTAGTACTTTTGACTGTTCCGCGAGAGAAACTCTTGTCCGATTCAGGTACGGCCATGATTCTGTCGCTACCGATGGGTAAAACAGGATTGAATTCGTACTATGGATACGCTCCCAACTGGGTTATGGGAGGATACATCCTGTTCTTCATTGGAATCAATGTTGTTATGGAAATGCTTGCCACTAACAACGAACCACGAATGGAGAAAAATGGTAACAGACACATTCGATTTTTTTTTTGCAAAGCTATAAACAATGGTCACCTAGATGTAAATATGTCTGTGGGAGCCAATACTGTTTCTACTTGAAGATTGTTGTAGAGGATTTATTACATTGTTTCAGTTTCGGAACTTAAGCCGCATCGTTTTATTGTAGGACCGAATGGTATGGCTCTTTCCCATTTGAATGGGCCTGCCGTTGAATCTCCACTGGCGCCGCCAACGGTGAGTTATTATTCTGTCAGCACATCACGTTGCACTGAGTTGGCCTACCTATCGTCCTGGCATGCCTGCATGTTTATAGTAGCAACCAACTCGCGATATCTTCTAGGGCACACTACACTTTTTCAAGTACGTGATAGTCGGGCTTTTTGGATAACGATTTTCAAGAAAAACTGGAGCCTTTTGATCTGTAAACACCAATTAGTATCCAGGATTCCCCATTTTCGCGGAGCTAAACCTTCATGTGAGCTCTCGGAGTCTTTCTGCTTACCCGCTGGCACGAATGGCCCCGTTTCCAACTGCAACCTTTCCTCCATTTTTTCGAAATGGATAAACGCCCTCAACTTCTCCAATTTGAATCCTTCCCTAAGTGTTTCCAGGAGCACCGTTCAATCACACTAGAATGATGATCTATAATGCATGCAGTGCCTTTGCACAAGCACCCTTCTTATCGAACGGATAGTTTCACGAGGTTCTCTTCGGGAGAGGAAGAGAGATTTGGAGTGTTCTATCAATATGACTATAAATGCTGTAGAAACCATAGTAACCGTAGTACACTCTCGATACAACAACTCGAGCGAAAATATCCTGGCGCTGACCAGGAAGAAATTTAAAAGCCTTCTATTTATCAATCTCACCTATCGAAAAAAGATAAGTAAAACTAACTTTAGTTGGTCAACTTTGGCATAGGGGGGGGGGGG